GGTTCATTTACTACGAGTCTGCTGCCCATCTCCTGACAAGAGGCCTAGGCCTTGGGCCGGCTCATAAGTAAGCATGGAAGCCAGTTGGTTCGCTAAGCCCTGCTCTGAGCTGCTCATAGTGGGCTCCGTAGCAAGCTACCTGCACTTGCCTGCACTCAAGCCTGTTTAATGATGCTGAGACCACGATGCAGTAGCTTCACAGTCAGCCTTATCAAAAGATGGGGGAAAACAAGCATTTTCCATAGTAACCACAACTATGCTGATGTGAATGAAGCCTCCATGACCTTATAAATTTACATATTTCTTTATAAGCACTAAGGGCTTTCATCAATGAATAGCTGTGATTGAACAGTCCTCCCTGCTTCTATAATTTTGGCTATCCTCCACTGGAAAATTAAATCAAAACTTAGGATAACTTGAAATTTCAAGGTCTGAGACACTTTAGTAGTCTTTAGAGACATAGTTCAGCTGGGTGTGGTTCCTGGAATTCTTAACTCTTACACTAAAGTTAAATATGTAATTAAGACAGTATCCATAACTTACTATACTTCCACTTTCTGATCACTTTGTATGTGCCAGGCATTGATGTGAATGTTGTACATGCATTAATTTATCCATTCCTAGCTGGATATGGTGGTGCACGCCTATAATCTCAGCACTTGGAAAGCCGAGGCAGGAGGATTGTCATGAGTTTGAGGCCAGCCTGGGCTGCATAAACAAGACCCTGCCTCAAAAACAAAACAAAAGACAAAAATAAGAGAGAAATTCTAGCTCCGGGAGGAACCCATGTAAGTTTGGAAGGAATTTGCATTTCCTGTAGGAAGATGACCACGTTCAAGTTTAATACCAATTTGAAACACATGCCCCTTCCTGCGGAAACACTCTGTGGGCTCCAGTTATCCGCAGCGTGGAGGGATGACTCCCAAGTTGTTCCAGCTGCTTCCCCCACTGCACCAGGAAGCCTCTGCCCATCTATTTCTTATAAGTTGTTGTTTTTATGTGGAAGCGTGTTTAAAGTGGCTAGCATTTGTAAGATTTTATAGCATATTTCCTACATATGTATTCAGTATGACTTCTGTTTCGTGTCTCTTTTTTAGATTGCTTGGATTTAGCTATTTTTTTTTCCCCAGAGTCAAAAATCCTTTGGAAGCTGACAAATGATAAACATTTTTGCCAGATGAGGATTTTTTTCCCTTCTTGGGTTCTCAAAATAGTGCGGTAGAAACACTTCTGGATGCTACTGCGGCAACATGCCTACGAGGTGGCCCCCTTATGGCCCCATTTCTGTCTCTGTGTTCTGCTCATGTGATGAGCACATCTGAGACCTAACCGGAAAGCTGATGTGAGAGAGGCTCCGGGCTTTGATGCTACTGTGATAGCAGACAGCACTCATGAAGCCCCATGAGCTTTATCAGCCTCACTGGAGCTGTGTTTTCTCAAATCCAAACAGGAGACATTCCAGCACGCACAATCTCTGTATGTGCGGCTGCAAAGATCCCCTCATGTGGCAGACCTGATGGGCCCTGATCTATGGGCAAAGGCAAGAAGTAAGACCAGTGCCCCGAAAACACTCAGTAAAACAACATCATTAGGCTCTTAAGAGCCTGTGTTGAAGGATCCACGGGGGAATTGTTTAGGCGATTTTCACATGGACAGAATGCTGCGTGGGGATATAGCTGTGAAGCACTCATAGTCAGTGGGCGAGGCACAGCAGGTGTCGGCCTCTGTCCTGGTGAAGGAGGGGGTGGTACGTGGTGAAGACGGTCAGGATGGGCACCAGAAGTCCAGATGCACTCTGAGTTTCCCAGGTCTTCTTTGAGAATTCTTGGAATCTGTTTTTATTTCACGGATGTTTACTAATTTAACAGTTTGTATTTTGTGTTAGGTATGGCACTGCTTTTAAGCTGGATATGACTCTAGTGGATTGCAGCTCCTCTGTGGGGAAAGTTGAGTATATCCAATGTTGTTCCAAATAAAAGTGAAGGCAGAGCTGGTGAGATCGCTCAGTGGTCTAAAGCGCCTGCTTAAGCAAGCTTAGACAAGCTTAGACAGGCTCATGGACAGTGGTTCAATCTCTGGCTGGCAGCACTGGGCAGGCTGAGGTGGCCACAAAAAAAAAAAAAAAAAAAAAAGTGAAGCTGTAGAAAATATCATCAAGTAATTATAAGAGTACTGTTCTTTTGTAGGATAAAAGCACAACTATTTTATTGAATAATAAATTAAGAATAATTAAATTGTTTTAAGGTGGCAAAACCATTTCTGTCCTAAATTCTTCTAAGTTTCCAGAAATGTGGTTGTAAAACTTTGACTAGAAAGCTACACTTTGGTTCTGTGCTGTTCAATGGTTAGTTTATAAAAAGAATTTATAAAATAGCAACCCTGTGAATTGCTTACGTATAATTTGCCTTGAGTCCATCATTTCCTAAAAATACCACGTGGACCAGAGTCCTGAGAATGCTGTGAATGTTGCTGATGCGTGAGATTCTCTCTTCTGTGTTGTCACCCAGTTTTAAGCCATTAAGCTGGGTATGACCCTAATGGATTGCAACTCCTCCATTGCAAATATTTGATTTCTGGAGTGGATTGGCACAAATAAATTTAAATCGGCAACCATGCAGACTTTGCATAGAACTTATAGTACTGTATTGTTTGTTTCTGTCACATTTATGTGGTCCGGTTCATGCTAAGATCTATTGACTGCCATGGATAGAAGTCCAGCGACTTTGAAAGCTTTGTCATGAGTTCCTTGTTTCAACCTCCTTGCACACTGGAGTAGATGCAGAGCTGTCAGCACCAACACTGAGGCTCGTTGGAAGGGCTTGGGCTGGACCTGTGTGTGGTGCTGGCTTCAAGCCTCTTCTAGGTGCAGCAGGGCCAACTGAGGACCCTGAAGAGTTGAGGCTTGAGACCAGTTTTGTAGGATTCTTAGTGCCTACCTTTGGGCTTGAGATTAATTGACTTCTGTCAGACTAAGGCATCTGGTAAATTAAGACAGTTGCAAGCTGTGCAGGAGCAGAGGAGGCCTGAGGTGTAGGTAGTTTCTGCTGGAGGTTCTTGGACAGAGGCCTCAGATAGACAGTGAGGGGCGAAGGATTGGGAGATGATTGATCCAGATGTCTGCCAAGCAGCTGCATAGCCATTCCACGCAGCATTTGGGTGTCCTGGGGTCAGCATTATATGGCCACTGGAGTCTGCTCTTCCCTGGCTGGCCACAGTTCACACAAGACTCTCTAGCACACGACTTTCCAACAGTTGATCAGCACCACCAGTGCTTATTGACTTACCTTCTTGGGGAGCTTTGTGGCCAAGTTCTACAAGTAATTTCAGTGACTGCTTTTCCATGTGAGATTAATAAAGTGGCTTTATTCCAGCAAGACAGCATCAGTCACTGCATTCAGTGAATCCAGTTATGCTTCTGGTATTGGTTCACATTTTTGTTCTCGTACAATTTGTAATTGTGCGTGATCTTATAAGAGCAAGACATAAGGTGCTTCTACCTGGTTATTTTATTTGCAGAATGTATTTAATACAATATAAACATTGTAAGGAAGAATGCAGTACAATTTTTGTTCCTCAGTACAATAACTATGATCACTGATCCTTTTGTTCTGTGTGATGTATTCAGCTCATCCTGAGTTTGGTGTAAATTAAATCCAACTTCTCAATTATCTATTATAAAAGGTCAGGGGTTGAGAAGTGATACAACTAGACCCTAAAGTCCATTGAGATTGTTTTCGCTTAGTTCTGTCTATCAGTGAAGTAGAAGTGGAGGAAAATCCAGATAAGGAAGCCAAGTGGAAGGCAGGAATGGTGGCTGGAAGGCACCATGCCACTCAGGAGGCTGAGGCAGGAGGATCACGAGCCCAGGACTTGGAAGCCAGCCTGGGTCACAAAGAACCACTTTAAAAAAGAAAAAGGAATGAAAGTGGGATATGGAATATTCCTGAAAAAGTGACAATGATAATGACCAACGATGGTGGCAGTGATGGTGGTGGTGACTGCATATTGGTGGTGATAGTGTAATCAGGCTTTGTGATGTCGGAGTCTCCTACTAATGATATCCAGGTTCTTTCGGTCCTGAACAAAGAATTGAATGAAACAAACATAAATGTTGGCAAAGTTTCACATTTATGAAAGGTAGGAAATATCAGGGTCTGTAGAACAAGTTTGGGCTAAGTAAAAGGAAAAAAAAAGAGAGAGAAAAGAATACACCCCCAGCGCAAAGTGGATGACCCAGAAAGGACCGCCATAATGAGCACATAGTGGCCAGGGTCTCTTTTCTGTATTTACCAGCTGCCTTCATGTTCTCATCATCCTGTCAGACCCCTGCTCGAGTTCTTGTGAGAAACCCATATGCAGGGCTTTGGGAACATTCTGTGCGTGTGTGTGTGTGTGTGTGTGTGTGTGTGTGTGTGAACCCTCCTTCCTCAACCACTTTTAGCTATGCCCTATCTTGGTGCCTCAGGGGTAGATGAAGATCCTGGGAGCGTTTTTTGAGAAGACTGCAAAAGACCAATGCATTCCGTGTACTATTTTTCTTGTCTTCGAGCTGGCCTTTGAGCGGAATTCAAATCACTGCTGCTAGGTAGGTTATAGCTGTTTTTATCATCACTCTGTTTTACACATGGGCATCTCCAGCTAAGAAATTTGAGATTCATCTGGGATTGAAGTTAAAACCTGTTGCAGCCAGCATGGGGTCATGTCTTAATAACTCATCAGTAATATTTTGAATTTCTGGAAGCGCCAGGGAGGAACTCCAGGCTGGAACCCTCACTAAGACCTAGATGTGAAGGAGGGGATGTGTGCGGTACCTTCGTGGGGGCACTGAGACGGGTCTGGTAGGGAAGGCATGGAAGGCATGGAGCCTGCTGCAGGAGCAGAGACAGAAATGCTATGAAAGCAACAGGTCCTCCAAGGCAGGCTTGAAGAAGTCTGTGTGGCAGGTCATGGTGTTTGCAAAAGACGTTTACACTCTTAACTGGTGGATTCTTGTGTTGTAGATGAAGACGAGCAATTTGGACTTCTGACCTTCTACCAGGAAAGATGAGATGAGCAAGCCCTTCAGAATGCTGCTAAGGTCGAAGCTGAACTGACGCATGAGAGAAGAGATGCTGGTTTGAGGGGTAGGTGACCATGACATTAGGAAGCCCAGCACGTAGCAGCCTGCTCATGGCAGTGACCAGGTGACCATGACATTAGGAAGCCTAGCACATAGCAGCCTGCTCATGGCACTGACCAGGGTCAGTGTGTGCACAGCTTTGTTGTGTTGCTCTGGAAGTTGTTTGCAGGCATCTGAAGGCTTCTGTTCATGGTGCAGTGGTAGCAAGGCCACCCTGGGACCGAGAGGCATTAGGAGCTATGACAGCGTGAAGTAGAACCACTCACATGGGGTGGCATCAGCCTCATTCGAGGTGTTGTGGTTTATAGCCCTCCAGAGTTCATGTTCTCATAGGCTGCGCTTTGGAAAGGTGATTGGGTTATGGAGTTTATAGCTGACTTGCTATTGGGGGGTAGGGTTTGGCTGGAAGAGCTGGGTCACAGTGGATGTGACCTGAAAGGGTTTCTCTCCCTCTCTGGCTTCTCCCTTCAGACTGCTTCTGGCTCACAGTGCTATGAGCAGCTCTTCTCTGCCAGCTCCTCTGCTATGCCATCCTCTCTGGCAGCCAGCTCATTTTGGATCAAAACACGAGCTATAATAACCTCTCCTCCCTTCAGTTGTAGCTGTTAGATATTTTGTATCAACAGTGATAAAAGTAAGACACTTGGATTGATTCACTTAGTTCTCAGATCCACAGCATGAAGTAGACCCTGCTGTTCCCCCATCCTAGAATGGTGCCACCTGGGAGCACAAAGAACACATCAACTACTGAGAGGACACAGCCTTCAACAATAACCTGTTCGCTCTGCTTTCTCCTCTCAGATGTTGCCCCCTGTGTTGCCCACATTCCCTCTTCTTCTTCTTTTTTTTTTTTTTTTTTTTTTTTTTTTTTTTTTTTTTTAAGAAATAGAATTGTAAATCTCCCTTGGAAGGGAAATTGGCATCAAAGAGTTATCAGTTCAGGTCGTAGTGGCCAATCATATTCTCCAAAAATGGCCGCCCTGGTTTTCTCCCTCATCCTGCAGAAAGGACGTCTACTTTTCCTTCTCTTGATGACCCTGGGCAGGCAAAAGTGATACTGAGTAACTTCTGAGGCTAGATCAGCAGAGGTGACATGGCATTGTCTTAGAATGTCTGTCCCCAAGACCCAACCACCAAATTCTGTTGGGAAAGAATAGGGGGTGGTCTAGCCACAGGTCACTGGCATATGAGTGAGACTTCAGGAGTGTAGTGCCTGCAACCAGCCTTCCAGATGTCCCTGAGGCAAGTGGATATGAGACAGGCTGTCCCCATGATTCATTTCTGCATGAGCATAGTAAACACTGTCATTTTGGGCTACTCCTCCAAATCCACAGCAGCGCACACCACTTAGGACAGATATTTTTACACTCACTCACGAGTAGGGAAATGCAGGTGAGTGGGAGAAGGTGACTGCTCACAGCCACATAGCTGGTGAGTGGGGCTTGGCTTTATCCCCAGGGCTGCCTGGTGTCAAATTTGTGAGACTCAACACTACTCCATATTCTACTGGGCAGGGAGATGGGGTCCTGGCAGTGTCTGGAACACAACAGTTCTCAGAGAGCAAACTGTTTTGGAGCAGGAGGACAAGAGAAAAACGATTTAGTGAACCAGCTTTGGAGAATACTTTCTTGCTGTTTCTTTAGTGTGGGCCTTTGTTAAGTGCCTCCCATCCTGGTTTGAACATAGAGTTTTCTCGCAAAGTCACCCCCAACTCCCAGGCTTAGATCTTGTAGTCTCTACTTGAGGTAGAAATACACTTCCTCCAAGCACATAAAATAAAGATCTAGGGCCAATGTTTCTATCCTTTGTTTGACACTGTGAAGGCCAAGGACTAGTCCGTCTCTCTCACGCCTCCTCTCATTTCTTCAGGCGTGGACCTCAACCTACAGTAGGGAAGTAACAAGTGCTTGTTAAATATGTACCAAAGAGCACTAAATGCGATTTTCTTAACAGTGAGAACAAGGTACCAACACTGAAGTGTTAGTGTTGAAAGCTTGTCATTGGAGACTATTAGAAAGCAAACTGAGGCACGGTGGCATTTTAGAGTTACGTGAGAAAGCAGCGATTCATGAATGACACAGTGCTGAGCCAGAAGTGGCTCTAGAGTCTCAGCAAGTGAGAGCAGGGTAGTAGGGGTGGGAGTCATAGGACAGACAGAAATAAATCAGAGAAACTATTTGGTTGTAGCTGTACCACTGCTTTATTTGGTTCATCCCATTGGGATCATGAGAAGCAGCTCAAGGTAAACATCACGTGTGATGGCAGATCATGCCGTGCTGAGGTGTCTTGTGACGCCTATCTGGTCCGTCTACTCAGGGATTCTGTAGACCTGGCCCTCAAGTTTAATTTACCTGGCCAAAGCTAAAGATTTCTTTTTCATTTCCTTTCCTGTTCCCTAAAACATCTTTGGGTTTGGCCGTATGAATAAATAACCTCACTAAATGCAACTGCAAACTAAACAATGACAGGAACTGCTATGCAGTCCGGGACACTGTCTTTCACTAGGTTGCTGTCCACATGGAACTGTTTCCAAGGGTGGCAAAGCAGAGCTGTACACCGTTAGAGACTGGCTTTGGAATGCGCGATGGTTTTTCCCCATCAGAAATGTTGTTGACTGATGAATGTGGTCACTGTGTACATCTAAAATGTACCAATAAAATATGGGAAAAATAAAAAAGTCTTGTTGAGGCTAAGTCCTGCAGTGGAACATGGAGCAAATTTGGGCCTTTACAAGGTTCTGGGGACAAGGTTCTCGGTAAGTGGATTTGTTCTTGCCCTCTGGGGATGGGGCCAGTCACCACAAGGATTATGAGTGGAATCTGCCGTTCCTGCTCACCTACGAGCTTTCTTCTCTCCCACACACACCTGCTTGCCTTCCCACCATGAGGCTCTTGGCCAGGCTGAGCCCGTGCAGCGCTGTGCACTTGGGCTCCAGGAACCAAGAGTGAGAAGGAACCTTTCTTTATAGATTAACCCATCTCGGGTATCCTGTTATAGCAACCAGCAATAACTAGGAGATGTGGAAATGTAAAATCTGAAGCTTTCAGTCCACCTTTGCTCATAGAGGTTTGGGGTGTGTGTTTTCTACCTTGAGTTTAGGGTTGTGTGTGCACACTTCCACAGTGTGTGTGCGCATGTGGCCCCAGTTACTTGGGAACTGTCAGAAAACCTGTCTACACTGTCTGAAGCATCCTGTACTCACCTGTATACCCAGTGGCTATGGAGAGCTGATAGGAAAGGAGGTGGCAGCCAGCCTGGAATATGAGGGTATTTTATTATTATGAAGGATGGATACACTCATAAAAAATTTTAGGAAAGTTTCATTTTTTTTTTTTTTTTTTTTTTTTTTTGCCTAGTCTTCTAGTTAGCTTTCCTGCCTTACAATCTGCAGTACCCTAAAACATAGCTCAACTTGGCTTTTCTTTTTCTGACCAGAAGTGTTGTAGACTTTGGATTCTGGAATATGCTCACAGAGTTTAATCACTGGATACCCGCAGTGTGAAAATTTGAACTGTTAAATGTTCAGAAAGTTTTAGATTCTTGTTTTACGGATGCTCAACATGGAGCTTGAGCCAACAGTCATTGATTCAATTCCTACCCCTGAAGGCTGGCGGTTTAGGCTGAGCTCAGCCATCTAGCGGAGCTGTCTGGGATGCCTGGGGCTTCCCTTGCCTCTGCCAGCCTGGTCAGGCACTGATGAGAGGACAGGCTCAGAGGCTCCTCTCTGCCCTCCACGGCTATTCCTCTAGCAAGATGACTTGAGCTTGTTCACGCAGACAAGAGGCTGCAAAACAGGGCGTGTGCAGGATTCTGGGAGCTTGGCCTTGAATGACATGCTCTGTTAGCTAAAGCCAGTAACAAATGAGGCTGTGTTGGAGAGATGAGGCAGAGACTCAAGCCTTTGATGGGAGGAGCTGCTGTGCTACCTTGCAAGCAAAGGGTGGGGAGACAGGGAGCGGAGGTGTAGCAGTCTGCAAACTGCAGTGCTGTGTAACATGCAGGTATTTTACTGGGGGAATGAACAGTGTCACAAGAGAGCAGATGGAAAGCAAAGCACCTGCGTGATATATGACTTCAGGAACTGGGAAGGGAGACTGTCAGAGGCTGAATTGGGTGCAGAGTAGATGGTCATGTGAGATGCCTCCCTCCATCTCCCTGAGTCTGTTTTCTGGGGGGCGAGGTTGAGACCCCACAACAGTGCTCAGGGCTGACAGTTGGTGAGCAGAAGTTTCCTGTCCTTGTCTACTGGGAATGGCAAGTACTGAGGGTATGTGTGACCACAAGATTGGAGGTAAAGGATGAGCAGCCACTTCCGGTGCAACGTGGCCCTCTGGGGCTGACCACACTGGAGGCATATGGTTTCTGCAGCCCTGTCCTCCTCATGGCACCTTGTCTGGTGAGTTTGAGCGTGAGAAGAGTGAGGGTCACCAAAAGGGGAGAGGGAGGGTGTGCAGTCTGTGGTGTTGCTCTTCCTCCATGGGATTGCGAGAAGGCTTCAACTTAATGTGCTTGGCTTTCCCACTACACTGCATCTACTGTCCTGGCTACTCGCAGTTGTCCTACGAGGGTGGATGACATTGGCCCTCCAAACAACTGTACAGCCACAGATTCAACCACTGGTGGATAAAAACACTAAAAAAGAAAGATTTGTACTGAGCAGGTACAAATGTTTTGCCCCCTGGTCCTTATGCCCTAGACAATATAGTATGACTTTCTCTTTACCTCATGGTAGGCATTCTAAGTCCTCTAGCGCTAGTTTGAAGTGACAGAAGGATGTGAGCAGATTCTGTACCAGTTCTGTGCCATTTTTCATAAGGACTTGAGCATACGTGGATTTTGGTACCCAAGAGGATCTGGGAAGCAACACACTGAAGGTACTGAGAGATAACCCTAGTACTGTTCTCAGCTTTTGGATGGAGAAGCTGAACCCTCAGAGATGAAGTGACTGGATCCAGGTGTTGCCCAGGTGGCATTCCGAGCTGAGCTATGTGATCTCCTGGTGTT